TTTTTCTCAATTTGGCAGCCTTCCTGTGTTACTGTGTATTAGGTAGAGCAGCTTTGACTCCCTGTCGTAGGGCACTGGTTAAGTTGTATAGGGCAGAGTCTTAGGTATTTGCCAAGCAACCCTCTTCACCACTTTGTGACTCTGTGTGATGGGAGTAGTTGGGGAGGAAACAATGCCTCTGCCTGGCTTCTGGAGATTTTCCCAGCAATTGCCCCATTTCCAGTGACTTCACCCAATTCCCGTATGTGACTGGCACCCTTCTAACTGTTGCCTGGATGGTGATTCCCAGAGTGGAGGGGTTTGTATATGTCCTAAGTCCATGTGGGCTTTTTAAATGGACTCTCCTGAGAAACCAAGAGTTTCTTCTGCTGCCCCATCCCCTACTGGTTTTTACAGCCAGATGTTATAAGGTTTTATCTTCCTGGTGCTGGAACCCTGGGTCATGTGGTCTGGCCTGGAGCTGGGATCGCTCACTCCCACCATATACCTCTTGATTTTTATCTACCACAGGTGAGTGTGTGACCTCCCGTTCCACTGCTGCCACCTGAGACACAATGTGTCTTCTGTGCCCCAATTCTGCGACTCCGCCCCTCCTACCTGTCTGGATGAATGTGGTTTCTTTAAATCCTTGGTTGCCAGACTTTCATACAGTTCAGTGTTCTATCAGTTCTTGGTGTTTTTTGTTTTGAGGTTAGTTGTAATTCTTCTTATGATCGTGCAGGGAGGCAAAGCATGTCTACCTATGCCTCCATCTTGACCAGAAGTCTAGATTCCTTATTAATTATTCCAACCACAAACTAAATGTCCTTGAGTATGGATTAAAACTAATACACATATTTATCACACTCTTTCTTCACCTGCAGATTAATTGCCCTTACTATTACTGGATTGCCCTTCATTAACTCTTTTCAAATAACACATAGGTTATTATATCATGAAACATTTTCACAGAAGAAAATGGGAATGGGCCCTGGTAAATGAAGGGTCCTTTGTTGGTGACCTCTGAGAGGTAGAAAAGTAGAGGTATAAACTAGAAAACTCCCAAATTTCCCTGCAGAAAGGAGAAAGAGAGATAGGAGAGATGGAAATGCCTGAAGGAGAAGGAGCTAGGCACACCAAAACCAGAATGGTGGGGTGCAGAGCTGAGACCTGTGAGGTTGGAATGGCAAAAGAGGAGTCCAGTGATTGTGTGGCCAGGAGCAGAGACACAGTGAGGAACAGCCAAGTGATATTTTGAAGTGATATGTTGTGCGAGGTATAATATGATTTTCTGAGATCCATGAAACTACAAAGATGACAATATCCTTGGTGTGGTTGGATTTCTTGTGGAAAGAGAGAAAAGATCTAACAGAAGAAGAGAGACAGCTGACCTCTGTGTTCTATAAAGAAGCATATGATGCCTTAGAATCCAGCCCTGAATACAAGGACTGAGATTTGGACCATTGTATAGGACAATAGAGGAAATGGAGCCACATTCTATATATACCAGGGATATTGCAGCTGGCTACTTCTGTACCTTCAAACTAAGTACCAAAGCAGACACACAATAAATCCCTAACAGGAGTTGCCTAGAGTTTTCATTGAGTCATAAACACATAGGATTAGTGCAGAGCATTCTTCCCTTAGTCACTTAGCAAGTAAACTGTTAAATATTTGGTACCTTAAAAATTTATTTCTTCATTGCTTTCCACCTTTTCAGCTACCCAGTTCTATCTTCCAGGTCTATCACACCAAAAGTACACAGAAGAAACATTTACCATGAAGAAAGATTGTAAGGAGAGTGGCCAAAAATTTAAAATACATGCTAATAGCCCAGAGAACAGTCACAGCTTGTAAAGTGCTGTTTTAAATCACAGGCAGTATCCACTTACAATGCAAGGTATTCCAATCATACTTTGTATTTCAGCCTCAGCTGGAAATTACAACCAAGGCAGAGGTTATAAAACTTAGCTATCAGGCATTTCAAATACTATTGACACAGGTACTTTGAAATGACAGTGTATTCAGCTAGTCTACATCTAGTGAGACGAAAGAGAATATTAGTAAATATATAGATACCAACTACCTAGTAGATAAAGTCAGTACTTATTTGATATCTTATATTCATGAAGTTGAGTTTTTGTCTTTTTACAAAAAAGGGAAAGATCTTTCCTGAAATAGGGAAGATCATACTCTTCATTTATAATTTCAAAATTAAACATGTCATGAAATATTTATGGTAGGAAACTGTGTGTCTTCACTTCAGCTTGTAAACTTACAGGGGAGGTTGTTTTTAGTTCACCAGACGTGTGCAAACTAACTCCTCTTGAGGGCTGTTCTCAATCTTGACCGTACACTGGAGTCACCAGAGGCTCCACCTCAAGAAACCCTGACGCGGTTATACCAGGTGACAGTGGGGCACGGATCCTTTCACTAGCCCTTCAGGAGACCCCAATGCGCTGCCAAGGTGGAGAACCTCTGTTCTGAGGGTTCGCTCTTTAAGTTACTATATAAACAAGGAATACCAGTTAAATTTTCATTTCTAACAACAAAACATGTTTTAGTATAATAGTTCTATACTAAAATTTTATTCAAACCTCTCTTTGAACTGAGTCTCCTGTGTTACTTGCCGAATTTGTCAACCCTAGCATTTCTCTGACTTTATTTCTGTGATTTCATAGGAAACAAGAGTCTCGTTTACATTCCTTAATTAGAAAGCATTACGACTTTTTGTCTTGTCTTCTTTCAGCCCTGTTTGTAACAAATATTATACCTTTAAAAATCAATTTCTCAAATATAAAAAGCACCGGTAAACTCAGTCAAGTCTTTGCTTCTGCGAGCTGCTGACATTCGGGCATTTTTTCTCATGTTTTCCATGTGGCTCCCTCCCACCGTGGCAGGTCAAGTCTCTCTCAGACTTTAAGTCATTCTAACACCTTCTATGTTATCTTTCTGACTCCAGCTGGAGAAAATTTTCTGCTTCTAAAGGATTATGTGATTAGATTGGTATACTGGATAATCCAGGATATTCTCCCAATTTGGGTTTATACCTAATTACATCAGCGAAGTCCCTTTTGCTATGTGCTGTCACATACTCATGCTGTGGATTGCAGCGGCTGGGATGTGGGCATCTCTGGGGACCTCTCTGCCTACCACGGTTGTCTTGAGTGTACCCTTCACCTCTTCTATCAGACCTCTTTCATCACTCCTCCGTTGCAGTGGAGGTCGTCCTCCAACTGTTTTTCTCAGAAAGACTGTCTGAAAAGAGTATTTAAAACTTAGCATATCTGAAACTATCTTTTTTTAAACTCATAACTTTATTACTTTCTAGATTGGAAATTCTTTTTCCTTGGAATAGTTTATTTGTGTTTCTTTCAAGAAGCCCAATGTCATTTCGATTTCTAAATCTTTGTAAGTGACCTATTTTTTTTTTTCTTCACCCTGGAAGCTATTAAGATCTCCTCTCTAACTCATGTGCTTTGAAACGTCCCAAGAATATACTTTGGTGTAGATAACGTTTATCCACTGAGGTGAGTTGAGAGCTTGTGTCCTATTGCCCTTCCATTCTGAGAACTGTTGTCCTGGTTTTCTTTAACAATTCTTTCTTCTTTTTGCTCTGCTTTTTATTAAAAATTTGACCCTTTTTTTGGTGTAGTTGCCTGAGCTAGAGCCTGCAGTGCAGTGCTGAATAAAAGTAGCAAAAATAGACATCCTTGTCTTTTTCCTGATCTTAGGTGAAAGTATTCATTCTTTCACCATTAAGTATATGATGTTCATTTAAAAAAAAATAGGTGTCCTTTATCAGGTTGTGAGGAACTTCCCTTTTATTCCTAGTTGATTGTTTTTCATTAAAGCATGTTAAATTTTTTGAAATGTTTCTTTTGTCGTATATTGAGATGATCCTGTGGTTTTTATCCTTATTATAAGTGTATTACATTGATAAATTTTGTTTGCTAAACCAAACTTGCATTTCTTAGCTAAATCCCTCTTGGTCATGTTGTATGTAAAATGCTTTTTCTATGTTGGTGGATTTTGTATTACTATTCATAAGGTATATGAGTCTGATGTTTTCCTGTCATGTCTTTGGTTTTGTTATTGCTGTCATCGGATTTTCAGGTGGCGAATTATTTCATACAGCCCTAGTCTTAGGACAGGGCTCCAAATAAGCTACTTCAGGCAAATGAAAACTTCTGTATTGCAGAAAAAGCTTGATATTTTTTGGAGGTCCACCCCCTAGCTTCCTTTCCCTTCCTGAAGACAACTAATAAAACTTGCTGTTTATATTCCAAAGCTTATTTATAGTCTTTTGATCATCTATTTTCATTGCTCTGAATCCAGAGTTTACAACTGCTAACAAGTCAGTATTTACTCATAGCGTCCCCGCTCGCTCCCTGAATAAGCGCTTTGATTTATCTCCTAGTCATCACCTCACCTACCATCTGTAACCTGTCAAGAGCCTTTTAGTGGTTAATCTCAGTCGCACACAGGTGGAACCTTAGGCGCAAGAAGGTAAGCAACTTAAGGAGTGATGTTAGAAGCAAAAACTCAACCCAGGTAGTGGTGCTGCCTCGGGAAGTCTTAGTCTCTGCGGTGGATGGTGAGGACGCTCTTGGAATAGACCCAGCAGGTGGGCTCAGCGCTAGAAACTCCAGGAGGGGCTGGGTGAGGCCCCGGGAATGGCCGGGCAACTTCTGCTGCCCTGGTGAGAGATGATGAGAGAGAACAAGAGAACAACTTTCCCACGGGCCCGCCCGCCCGGCGCGGCTGCGCTGCTCGCGGGTCTGCGCGGGGTCAGGGCGCGGCGCCGCCCACGCGCGGCTCGGGCAGGAACCGCGGACGCGGGGGAGCCCGGCTGGCGACGGCGAGGCGGACCAGGGCGCCGAGAACCAGGCCGCGGGCCCCCGGCTGCCGGGGCAGCTGGAGCGCTTTCGAGCGCGGGGTTTGGCTCCTGTCGCTTCCCGTCTCGCCGAACCGGCCTCCCCGCCGCCGGAGCCGCCGCGAGCCCTCGCCCAGCGCTGGCCTGCGGGCGGCCGGGCGCGCCAGGAGAGGGCGCGGAGCCGGCGGCTCGGGGACGCGGACCCAGGTACGGGGCGGCGGTTCGGGGAGTGACGGGGCGCGCCCTCCCCGAGGGCTGTGGCCTGGGCCCAGCGCTGCCCGCCGCGGCGGCTCCGGGCCCCGCGCCCGCCCAGGGGAGGACGCGCCCAGGGCTGGGCTGGGCTGGCCCGGCCCCGGCGCCTCCCACCTCCCGTGCTGGCCTCAGGTGATGCGGCCGCGGTTTAACTTTCGCACCTGAGGCTCTCCGGTGGCCTCGGGAGCGACCCGGGAGGGTGGAATTACACGGGGACTGAAACGCGAGCCAGGAGGGGCGCCGGGGGCGTGGTGGGGAGGGCAGGCTGCGGCGGCGGTGGCCGGGCGGGTGTCCGCCGCCCTCCGGGTCGGAGTTGAGGAACTACATCTTGTTTCACCTCGTGGGAGCTGGTGGGAGGGTCGGCACACACCCCCTTCGGCGGCCGGTGCCCTCTGCACGGATCCGCTTCTTTTGTCTGGTCCGTTTCGGTGTCGGCGTGGCAGCTACGTTTGTGGCAGCCGGGGGTCCGGAGCGCACAGCCTGGGCGCGACGCGGAGGTCCTAAGTAAGCTCTGAAATGCGGCGGGGGCGGGCGGGAGAGGGTCCGGGGCGGGGGTGGGGGTTATTCCTGCTTTAATTAACACTAGCAGGTTTATATTACCCTGTTGGTTTAGAAAGCTTACCCAATATTTTTTTTAACATCTAATAGTTTTAAGTGCACCTGGGAGAGCATTCATTAGTTAACTTCAAAGGAGCATTGTGTGGGCAGGTTACTATTAAATTATCCCATTTTATAGACTAGACAGCTGAGGCACCCACGAAGGAAAATGATCCTAAGAAAACCAAGCGTTCAGCTGTTGTGGGAGCTGTGATTAGAGCTCGTCTGACGGACAGTTGTGCTTGGTCCACCCAACCTCAAACAAAATTTAGCACGCATACTGCCTGTCTGATACTCATTTTTATTTACTCATTCATTACTAAAACCTTTTCTTTAAAAAATGAAGTTGAGTTCTTTCAGACTCCTGGAATAGTTCCCCTAAAAGTGATACTTAAGAGACCAGAATCATTTCTGGTTTTTTTTTAATCCCCAACAGAGGATAATGTTTATTGATTTTATTATTATTATTATTATTATTATTTTAGAGAGAGGAAGGTGGAAGAGAGAGAGAGGGAGAGAAACATTATATGAGAAAGAAACATGGATCGGTTGCCCGTGTATGCATCCCCACCGGGGACTGAACCACAGCCTTAGTATTTGCCCCGACGGGGATCAAGCCCCAAACCTTTTGGTGCAGGGGAAGCTCCGACCAACTGAGCCACTTGGCCCGGGCAAGTTGTTGGATAGGATCACTGGATTCGTAGTAAGGACTACATTTCTTTTGTCTTTCATCTGTCAAACTTAATGAATGTTTGCCCCTGGGACCCAGAGATACTTAGTGGTCATCAGAGTGGAGAACCTAAATGTTTAACGAATAAGTAGAATGGAGGAGGCAAGTTTCTAGGTATCCCTAAATATTGCATAGCAAGTTTTATTTTCTCATAGAAAAGAATTACAAGTTTAGGAGAATAGTAATTTTAATGCAAATTACCTTGAAATCATGTACTTGTTTTAAGTAGAATACCGTAAGTCAATCACATGTAATACTGGGGCAGTATTAAGTGGGGGGTATACTTAATATAAAAGTTTCAACTTTACATAAATGCAAGTGTAGATCCTTATAATTTAGAATCATAAAATTTGTATCCACGTTCTATGTTTTGAATGTAATACAGCTGGGTCAAAATGGCCTCATCAAAATGTAAAATTGCTATTTTCAAAAGTTATTAGCAAGTTGTATGTGCAACAGATTTTCCTGATGACACCAATTACCAGATACATTCATTTTCTTGATTTCTGGGTTGTTTGAAAATTTTATAACTATTACTGTATGTCATATATTATAAGTGCCAGAAGTCTGTTAAAACTGTATTAGCACTTAAGGTGATATTGCCCTGATCCCTTCGAATTACTAAGGAGTTTTTTAATAAACATGAAATCATTTTCTGAGGGAACAGTTAGAAGTAGGTAATTTTCAATGCAGTCTGTAGCTTGAGAACAGGGATAATACTGTGGCTACAAATATACTACAATCCAGTGCATAACAAATGCATAATCAGGAGCCTATAAAATGAAGGGCTGCTATCCTTTTGATAATTAAATGGAAAAGAGTTCCACTGTTTAGCAGCCAAATCTCTCTCTTTAACTGAGAGTGAATGATAACTTTGAGAAAAATCACAGATTTTGAGATGCAAACTATTTTTTTAATTTTAAAAAATTATTTTTCAAGAGAGGAGAAGGAAGGAAGAAAGGAAGAGAATCAGTCTGTGAAAGATACATCAGTCGGTTGCTTCTCTCACGCCCCTACCTGGGAGCCTGGCCCACAACCCAGGCATGTGCCCTGAGTAGGAATTGAACCAGCTTTTGGTTCACAGGCCAGCCCTCAATCCACTGAGCCACACCAGCCAGGGCTAAATGCATATTATAGAAGTGGCAAGTAAATTATCAGTGGACAAATAGAAGTGTGCCCTAGAATAGCCCTAAGATGAGAAAGTAAAGATTATCTCCTCATTATACACATGGTTTGCCTCCCAGATAGTGGTCCATGCCCATCTCATCTTGTCCATAAGTCGTACCTTTCCTCCGACCCTCTGATCTCGGACCTCACTTCATCTTCTATTGCCATGTTTGGGCAGAAGGTAGTTGACTCAGGAAGCATGGAGGCTCAGGGGGGAACTATGAGAACATCTGTTTCATATATAAAAAAACTTTTTTCCCTCAATTTGGAAATTTAATAGTTTATACTTAAGGTCTAGTCAAAATTTCCCCTTAACAAAGCCCCAATAAGTAGACAGTCCCTAATAAAATAGGACATAAAAATGCGTACATTAAAATATCTTGTTTTGGCCATAGTATACAATAAAATGTACAAAATCTTGTCTATGAAAACTGAGTATCCTTGGTAAAGGAAACATTAACCAGTTGCTTAATAAGGTGTTTTGTTGCTTTCTTAGATTTTAGAAAATATTTGGGGAATGACTTGAATGGTAAGTCTCTTACAAAAGCTACCCTGAGAAAATTGGAGTCGTTACATTTTTTATCTTGATAATTTTCTTTGTAGCAAGGAGAAATAGAGATTATTCTAATAATAATAAAAGTGTCCTCAAGTTCCACAATCTCTTTACCTTCACCGTCGGTTTAGCTGCTGGAAAACTGTAGGGGGGGGAAAAGTCGATCATTAGCACAGGTTTTAAAAGCAGCTTCAAAACATTATTCACAAAATTGGAGATAAACATGAGGATTAATCTAAATGAGAATTGCTGGGCCTACTTTAAAACCTTTTGAAAAAATTTATCCAAAAGGCCAAAATTGAATTATGGACACTAATTAGTCAGCACGCAATGAATGGTGTAGACCTGTGAGCCAATGATGTAATAAGTAAATAGGGGACTGTCTACTTAAAGTTTATTTCATAAAGAAATTAAACACCAAGATATATTTTTTTGGTCATATTCAGCTCTAATTTTGGTTTTTAGGTAGAATTTATTCTTTCGCAGACCATTTGTCTTCTGGATGATGTGTAAATTGTATAATAAATATTTATATAGCTGTACCTGTTTGACTTAGAACTAGCGAAGTGTTTCAGTTTCTGTTATTTTCCTTGATCAAGTACCCACTCCTCTCCACTTTAAGCATCTAAATCCTCTCTATCCTCTAAGACCCAGATGGAATGGAGGGTACCATTATCCTAAACTTGGTTTCCCATTCCTGTTTTTACACCCGTTGCTACATATGCATGTATTGTAAAGAAATATAACATTGTTGCACATGCTCTACAAATTTTTGTAACTTAGTTATGTTGTGTGTTTCATTCTCTACTGTGTTTCTTTCTTCAGCCTTTTTCTTCTTTAACATACTGTGCAATTTTTTCCCACAGTTTAGTTTTATTCCTGCATAGTATTACATTGTATCAATGAACTAAAAAGTATTTGTCAAATATCCTATTGATGAACACTTTGATTGTTTCCAATTTTTTGCTAATACCATAAAATGTTGCTAAAACTAACATTTCTATATGATATAATAGTATCTTAGGCATATACAATGCTAAGAGTAATAATGAAACTCCATAGATATGCATTTCATTTTTACCAAATCTTGCCAAATTGCTTTTCAGAATGTGCCTAGTTATACTTCCCCATAGTGGTTTATGAGATTCTTCTTGTTCTATATTGTTTTTCCGCTTGGTATTGTTAGACTTTTACATTTTCCCCAACGTGATTGGCGTGAAATGGTATCTTGTTTTAATTTTCATTTTCTTGATTTTTGGTGAACTTGAGCACTTTTCTTATGACTGTGGGCCATTTTGGTTTCCTCTTCTGGGAATTGTGCTTTCACAGCCTTTGTTCATTCTTCTGTTGGATATCTGTCATTTTAAATTTTTGTGCTATAGAATTAATTATGGACATTATCCATTTGCCTATAATATTTTCAGATTTCTTCTTCCTGTTTCTAAGTTGTCTCTTAATTTTGTTTGTATTTTCTTGTACTGAAGTTCAAAAAGATAAATATTTTATATTTATCAATATAGTTGACTGGGGTTTTTCTGCAACAGTTTTAAGACTCAGCATGTAGTTGCACCCTTTGTCTTCCTAAGATTTGCAGCTAAACATTCCACACGGGCATATACATAAAATTATGAAGCTTTAAAAATTTATGTAAAAGTGCCCTAGTTCAAAATTGCATCTAAATAACAGCCTCCTGGGCAGTTTTTTCTAATTTTTCATTAGTTTCCTATGAAGATGTAAAATAAAATGAAAACATACCACAAAATCAAAAAGCAAAAAAATAATAATAACCTCCTAAAAACCAGAAGGAAATGACCTTAATTAAGAAACAGACTGTACTCTATTGAGAGGAATTTCTGTACATCAGCACCTGCATATCCCTATCCCACCCTCGCCTCTTGGTACAGACAG